AAACACAATACTCCAGATGAGGTCTGATAAGAGCAAAGTACAGCAGGACTTCTCTGCTTGGAAACTGCCTCTCAGCAGCTCACGATGGAATGAGCTGTTTTTGGTTGCCACATTCCACTACTGACTCGCTAAGCTTGCAGTCCACTAAAACCCCCAGATCTTTTCAAACTGTTGTCTAACCCTTAGTAGGAACAAACTGGGCCAACACATCGCCTGCCTGGCCTTCATGCCAGGGCCATGATCCAGCCTTACATCCAATCATCCAGCCAGGCCACTTCATCTCCTCAGGTCTCTGCCCATCAGGTATCCCACCCTCCAACTTCTCTAGAAAACAACACCCCTCTTCCCGGTAAGTCATCATTCCCCTAGATGGGCTGCTGTCCCTTATCAGAATCTAAGCTCCTCGAGGGCAGAGACTTAAAAACAAAAACAAACCAAAAATCCCACAGATACTTAGCACAGTGGCCCCGACCTTATACTTATGAAATTGATTTTTTGGCCCAAATCTAAGACTTTACATTTATTCCTACTGAATTTCATTTTGTGAGATTCAGCTCAATGCTCTAGCTTGTCCCTTCTTTTTGAATCCTAGCCCCGTTATCTACGGTGTGAGTTATTCCTCTCAACGTTGGGTCACCTACAAATCTGAGGAATAGATAGCTGAGGACCACGCACAGACGCCTGGGCAGCTTCACACTGACATTTTTTTTTAATAGTTGCAATCAATTTATTAAAAGAAATGATTGGTTAGGCATCTGCAATGGTGACTTCAACTTCTACACCTGGTTCAATGCTGATAGACACGATCTGTTTAACAATTTCAGAAGGACTGTGCAAATCAATAAGGCATTTGTGGATTCTCATCTGGAACTGATCCCAAGTCTTTGAACCTTCACTTCAAGGAGTTTATCTAGTTGTGATTCGAAGTGTCTTAGTGGGCATTCGAACAGGTCCCTTCACTTTCAAGTTCTTTTCTTTGGCTCCTCTAATTAGGTCAGCACACACTTTCTCGAGGGATTTCACATCTCGGCTGGTGAGGGTGATCCGGATCCTGTGAATGGCCGTTTCGGGCTCCACAAGGGTCACGCTGGTGTCTTTGAATGCCATGGCAGTGTAGTGGCTCCTGACTTACTTATTCCTCGGTGAGAGCGAACAGCAGCGAGTCAGGAGGAGGAGAGGCAGCGACTGCCAGCTCCGCACGGCCGCGGCGGCAATACTTTCACCGAAGAGCTTCACATTGCCATGTTACCACTATGAGTCCGGTCAATCAAACGGTTCTGACTGGACTTACCTGTATTAGTATCTGATCCAACGATCTTCATCTTCTCCATCAGACTAGCAGAAGAGAAACAACAACAAATTTCACCAAATCGGCCGCTAGGTGGTGCAGTGGATGGAGCACCAGGCCCACAGTCAGGAACTCTTCTACCTCAGTTCAAATCTGGCCTCACACCACACTACCCGTGTGACCCTGGGCAAGTCACTTAGCCCTATTGGCTTCAGTTTCCTCATCCGTAAAATGAACTGAAGAAGGAAATGGCAAAGTGCTCCAGTATCTTTGTCAAGAAAACTCCCGATGGAGTCATGAAGGGTTGGATACGACTGGAAAATGACTAGATAATATCATTCTATCAAAAGCTTTTCTAACATATAAACTATATCCACATTATTCCCCTCATTTGCTAGTCCAGTAATCCTGTCAAAATAGGAAATGGAGCTAGTCTGGAACTGCCTGTTCTTGATGAAGCCTGGACAGCGCTCTGTGATCGCTGCTTCTATTTCTAGAAGTTCCCTAACCATCTCTCTAATGATCTACTTCAGAATTTCCTCTGAAATGGAAATCAAGCTCACTGGCGCCTATGTTGCAGATTCCGTTCTCTTCCTTTTTTGAGGAAAATCAAGGCATTTGCCCTTCTCCAAGCTTATGGCACCTCTCCTATCTTCTACATAACCTGTACTCAGAGAACTCTCAAATGAACACGTCCAGTCATCATCACTCTTAAGACCACATCCAGCTGGATATCCTTCTCCAACTCTATGTCACTATCCTTCCACCCAAACCTAGCCTTCCTACTAACTTCCCGAGGCTGGCACTTCCATCATCCAGGCTGGTAACCTAGGGGGCCCTCCTTGACTCTTCTCTCTCAGCTCCCCAGAGCCAAGAATTGCAAAGTCTTGTCAATTCTACAGCCTCAACATCTCTCCCATCTATCCCTGCTACTATTCCCATTGCCCTCATCGGCTCTCTCCTGGGCTATTTGTGATAACCTCCCAGAGTCTCTCCTCCCTTCTCTCCAATTCATCCTGCCCATGGCTGCCAGTGGATAACCCTAAAGCACTGTTGACCATGTCACTGCTCTGCTCAAGAAGCTTCAGTGGCTCCCAACTGCCTTTAGAAAAAACATACAAGCTCCATACTCTGGCTCCAGACTGTCTGTCAGGGCTGATGAGATAGTTCCTGCATCTCAGTGTGCTCCTGGCCATCTGACCCCCTTGCTCTTCCCCATACAGGCTACAGTACAGCCAAATTCTGTTTGTTTCTAGGTTACACAACTTTGAAAATAACTCCAATTATATTCCTCCCATCAAATTACTTTACAAAAGTAAAAAATAAAATCTAAAAAGCTTAGGTGTCATATCAAAGTTCTTGAATGTGAAAGTGAGGGTGTGTCAGCATTGTAAAATATAATAAGACCTACCCAAGGAGTTTCGTTTCACCTTCCTGCCTCCATTACTTCGCAGGCTGTCCCCACGTCTGCTTATTTCCCCTCTTCCCCTTCCCTTTTTGGAATCCCTATTGCTCCCTCCCAGGCCAAGCTCAAAGGGCACCCACCCCAAGAGGCCTTTCCTGATGTGCCCAGGCAGTCTTCCTCCTGATATCCCCTTCCCTACCCTCACCGTCCCAGGTGTATTCTGCAGGTTAGACACTTTGTCCACTGGGCCCATGGTGTATCACTCCTGGGAAGCCTGTGGAGGGCAGGAGCTGACTCAGTTGTACTTGTATTGGCAGGGCACAGCAGCTCCTGGCACGAAGTAGACTAACGTATGAGAACCAGCCAAGGCAAAACTAGACAAAGCGGACACAAAACTCAACGAGTAAGACGATATGGAGCCATGTCAGCGTATGGACAGAAACAACTGATGCTAACCCGCCCTACCATGTCATAGAACCCAAGGCCACAGTTCTAGGTAGACCTTTTTGTTCTTTGGAGAATGAAATGTTCGCTGGTGAGCCAAATACCAAATAGGGCGAAAGGACACCAATACAAATCTCTCCTTTTTAAAGCTCATGAGCACCAATGTATTCTAGGTACAGTACAATAACCAGCATTGATAATGATGGCTTTCAGTAAATACAAGGTTCAATTCTGCTTGGTATACTGTTTAAGAAGTCAGAAAAGCGTATTATCTAATAGTTCCATGCAAAATGGCTAAAATTGTAGCAAATTCAAGAGTAAACTGGAATAAATTCACTTATCTAAACACGAGATCTCCATTTCGCTGGATAAGTAACAGATTCCTGTAAAAACATCAGAAAGGTTTGCCAAAATTGTACTTTATCTCAAGGTCGGCATGAACTAGGTAACTTGGCTGACGGTGAATCAACATTTATACGTTGCCTTGCAACACACTAACACTATATGCTAATATAATATGCTAATAGACCACACTAGCAATGTATCTGCATAAATGTAGATGTGACTGGTCTACTTCTGAAGCGTCTACCTAGACTAGGGTTGGAATGGAAAAATTACACAACATCTGGAGATGATGGACCGATGAGATGAGCACCGGAGGATTCGGTGGCAATTTGTTGACTTATCAAAACTGGAAATCTGACTCAGCACAAAAGTCAATGCCTTCTCCCAACAACAGGAAGCGTGCAAAGTGTCCGGTAACCTTAGCTCTTCTGATCCTCACCACAACCCTGGGAGGCAGGCGCTATTGTTAGCGTTAACCCCACTCTACACAGGAGGAAACTGAGGCTGGGAGAAATCAGGTGACTTGCCCAGTGACCCCCCGCTGGCAAGCAAGCCCCTCACCCCTCTCTCCACAGCTGAATTTCCTGGGAGGGGGGCACCTGAGATCCGCACAGCGCGGGCTGGGGAGCACTGCTGTTTCCATGACTCTGTTTTCTTCGGAAATAACTGCACTGTGGTTAAACCTTGGCAGGGACGCTTCGCTAAGACATCAAAGGAAGCTGCCACAACCGAACGCTCCTCCCCGCCCCGCCCGGGGCTCCCCTCTCCCTGGCACAGCAGCTCCAGGAGGGGACACCAGCAGCACGATCCTGGCCGTCCCCAGGACACCACGGGAGGCGAGCGCAGTCACACTGCCCGGGCACTGCTCACCGCCCCCGCCCCCGCCCCCACGTCACTCCCAAACCCTCGGACCCGCGCCCGTGCCCGCACGGCTGGATCGGACCCAGCGGGAGGCCGGAGACCCCCCAGGGCGGAGCACAGGAGGGAAGGGGCAGCGCTCGTGCCCGCTCGAGGGGACGGGACGGGGCGCGATCCGGACCAACCCCCATTCGGGTGCCCTCAGTGGGGGCGGGGCGGGGCTGACCGGAGGAGGAAACTGAGGCTGGCAGCGCACGCGCGGAGGCCAGTCACGTTCCTGGGAACCTCAAGTTCCCTGAACTTCTCGCGAGGGAACGGGCGCAGAGAGGGGTGAGCAGAGGGGAGGGGCAGGGCATTTAGGAGGCACCTACTGTGTGCCAGGCACGTGCTGAGCGCTTTACAAAGATCATCTCATTTAGGGAACGGAGAAATGAGGGGAGGCAGCGACACCAGGCTTGCGGGGGGAGCTCCACGGGAAAGGGGGGGGCACGCGACATCCAGGCGGGGGGAGCGACATGGAGGTGGGGGGGAGGGAAGAGGTAGAAAAATGAGGCGGGGCTGGAGGAGGCCGAGGCCCCCGCCCCTCCCGGCCGCCCTGTCACCCCGAGCCCGCAGCTCCTCCGTCGCCTGCCCGGCAGAGCCGCTCGCCGGCCCCCTCACCTTTGATGCCGGCCATGGCGGCGCCGACGCCCCGAGAGCCTCCACGCAGTCACCACACAACCAGGCAGACAACAACCGGAAGTGCCCGACACAGCACTTCCGCCGGCCGGGTGGGAGCGGGGCGGTGGGACGTGTGGACGTCAGGGCGGCGCGCTCCGCCTCCGCTCCCGCTCTCAAGTTGTGATTGGGCGGTCAACCTCGGGCCCCGCCTCCAGACCCGCCCTCGCCCCGCCCCGCCTCTGGCTCTACACCTGTTCTTAAAGGAGCCGCGGGAAAGCTCTGAGAGCGTAGCACACCTCCCACTCAGTGCTCCCCCACGCACCCGCACGCTGGCACTAAATCCGCTAGGGCGTCCCCTGGTTCGGCCTACCCTCCAGTGTTTATGTCCACCTGGCGCAGGACCACTCGTTTATTCATGCCTTGGCTCATTCCCTCTCTCACTTATCCATCCCTCAATCATGCCAGAGGAAAGGTCTTTCCAGCCTTTGGAGTAGGAAGGCTCGGGTTTGAAGCCCACCCTTGATACTTACTGTGTGACCCAGGGTAGGTCATTGCCCCTCGCTGGCCTTCGTTTTATTCATCTAGAAAGGATAGAGTGCTGGACTTGGTGTCAGGAAGACCAGTGCAAATACAGCCTCAGACCCTGGCTAGAATGGATGAATGACCCTGGACAAGTATCTTAACGGCTCTCTGTGCCTCAGTTTCCTCATCTGTAAAATGGAGATGATAAAAGCACCTACCTTCTAGAACTGTTGTGCAGATCAAATGAGATAAACTATGTCACGCAACGTTATTTTGCTTTGCAAAACCTTAAAATACTATCTACATGCTAGTTATTATTTAATGTGAGTGTATATGTACACTCAATAAACTTCAAAGTCCTTTTCACTTGTTTTAACAATCCTTTAACTTGGTGTGCATAACCTTGTCTGCATCATAGCTCTCTTTAGCTGCAGTCTGGTAAAGCCTATACTCCCCTCCTCAGAATCATGTTTTAATGATAATAAAAATAATAAATATTATAAATAAATATAATATACATTATAATAAAATTATAAATAATAATAAATAAATAATAAAATAAAATCCATATAATTCCAAAGGAAACTGATTACATTGAAATACTGTTATCAAAAGATTTTTTAAAAAAAGTTCACAGGCCCCAGGTTGACCCCCCCACTCCAATTTAACTGACCCCTAGAAAAGGGGAGGAGATACAAGCCCCAGAAGACAAGAGAGCCAACTTCATTCCTGGGGGGGAACCTCTATGTAGATAAATTGATTAGGAGTAAGAGGGGCAAAGGAAAAGCTCCCCAAACAGTGTCTGAGGAGGAAAGAAATACGTTCACAGTTGGAGTGATCAGAGAAGGTTTCCCAGAGAAAACACCTGAGTTTTCTGGAGGATTCTGAAAGGTGAGGATGGAAAAGCAGTGCCTTCTAATGCATGGGAGAAGAGGGTGCCTGACAAGCATCAGCTCATCCTGTGTGTCAGGTACTGTGTAAGACACTGGAGCTCGTAGTGCACCAAGGGCTCATGGAGCATGCTTGGATTGGCTGTACCTGGTGGGTTATATGGAGCCTTTGCAGGTATTTCCTGCTTATCAGTCCACTGCATGAAATCCTATTTCTGACCAGGGATGATTCAGGGGCTTTGCAATGGGTGATGAAAAGTTCTCTAATTAGCTGCTGAGCTGGACCTCAGGCCATCTGCTAAAGGAGGCGTGTGCCTCTCCATTTGCTCTGCTGTGAGCTGCCTCCCAAGAGTCTAGTGAGAAAAAGGCAGCTAGCCCCAATCCCCTTCCTGACCACCATGTGTCCACGAACACATGGCAGCTTCTGTTTATTCTTTCCTTATCCCAGGTAAACTAGCATCCAAATTGGAATTGTCAAGGGTTCTTGGGAATGCCGAGAGGGCTGGTGATCACGGGGAGCTGGCGAGGCAGTAGCTGATGGCTAGGGAATCACTCACATACAGAGTGGAGATATATACTGGAGTTAGATGAACTATGGACAGATACCAATAGAGAAAAGGCATCCCAAGGCAACATGACCCTTTGTGGCAGAGACAAGTGCTGGACAGGAACTCAAAAAGGCACAGATCTTCAGATCCTAGCCGAACTGTTTGCCTAACGGACAGCAGCATCCTAAGGAAGCTCTCTATGAAGAGACAAATAGATTTCCAGTGCTAGGAGTTATAAGGTGTCCCTTTGCCATGCTGTTTGCCTCACTGTCATCATACTCTCAGTTAAGGCCACCACTCCCATGAACCTGTGTGTATTTGTCAGACAGAGTGCCCTAGAGGTTTTTTTTTTTGTGGTGGGGGGAGTGTGTGTGGTGAAGCACGTTTTGTCCCTGCTATTTTTTACTATACCACCTGTAGCTTTGCTGCAAGCTAATTGTTTATTGGCTGATTTTTGGTGGGGAGCACACCAGTTGGGGCTTGGGAGTGATAGTAGTAGCCACCAGTATGACTAGTCCTAGAATCTAAGGTAGCAGTTGCCCCTCGGAGATCCAACCTACGAGTGCAAATTTTGTATAATATACTCTCTGGTGCTAGCTATTCAGACTGCCTTTTTCTAGCTTTCTTCCTCCCTTGAGATCTCCTAGAAAGAGTTCTCCAGGTCACTGCCTTCACTTCCTCACCAATTTACATTACACAAAAGTTGAAAGTCCCTGCCCACTGGGAGCTCACCTTCTCTGCTGAGCTTATCATGTCAATAGTACATTCCAGTGGAGATGTCCAAAAGATTCAGGACCTGGATTTTAGGAAAGAAATTAAAGTTGGAAATCTAGATTATGGAGTCTTTCTTATGTGTAGAGATGACAGTTAAAGCCAAGAAAGCTGATGAGACCAATCAATATGTGTTAGTATTCCTCAATAGGTATGGATTAGTATTTATCAATATGCATGTATTACTACTGCCCAGGGAGAAAGGTTAGAGAAGGAAGAAAAGAGAGTCAGGCCGGAGCCTTGGGGAGTGCCATCCATAAGGAGGGGGTGGGTGATGGCGCAGTAACAGAGAAGGAGCAATTCGATAGGCAGGCAGGCCGGCCTACAGGAGAGCCAGTAGAGTCAGGGCAGCCAACGGAGGAACAAAGCGTGCCCGGCCAGGTGAAGACTTTCGGAGATGGGAGATGAGGACTGGGAAATGATCGTCAGGGCTCGCAGTAAAGCGCAGCCTTTGTGTCCGACGCTACGGCCCCGGAGGAGAGCCCTGCTGGACCTCACGTCCTTCTCGCCTCTGCTTCTCTGCCCCACCCACGCGAAACTGGAAGTTAGGCTTGAGATGTAGATTGGTGAGGAAGTGGAGGCAGGGGCCGTGGAGAGCTCTTTCCAGGAGGTCTCGAGGGAGGAGGAAAGATACAAGAAGGAAAGATACAAGAAGGAAAGATACAAGAAG